CTGATTACCTGAATTGTTATAAATAATGATAAAAAGTATGACATTTGTTGTTATTAAATGATAGAATTCACTAAAAGTATATAAATATGTAATAAATAAAATAATTTTGTGATAAAAATGATAAATGAGGTTTATCTATTGTCAATACATTGGTCATTCTCATTTACACCTGAAAAAAAAAGCCAAAAAACACAATTTTTGTAACTGGGTGGAGCTACCCGACACATTTTGAAAAGAGCTGAAAAACATGTTTTTTTTAAATTTCTATTTTTTTAAGTTTAACTATTCTTTTCTTGGTTTATTCTTTTTGCATTATTTAATTAGATGATAAAACAATAGAAACATACAAAAATGTTGATTATTATTCAGTATTATACAGAATTATAAGCAATACTCCTTAAGTGAGCTGGGCTACCCGACTCTCCCCTACATACTTTGTTACAATGCAAAGCAAATAACCATTCAACAATTGTAATACACACACATGATCGTGAGTAACACTGGTTGGAGTAGGAAGGTATGAAATAGCGACTACAGACTAAACAACAACAAAAAATGAGTTAATAGGTGTATGATCCCCTCATACAGATATACAGGCCTTGCAGCGTGATTTCATACTTTAAATAAGGCAGTTTATCATTTCTTGTGGCAATTGTCCTGAATTGTCCTACGGCAATTTCATACCTTCCGACTCCAACGAGTGTTGCGCACGATCATGCTTGTGTATTACAATTGTTGAATGGTTATTGTGATGCCACAATTGGCATTACATATTTATTTTCTATCCTTTAAAAATATCTTTCATTACTTAAGCTTTTTTTTTATTAATAGAATAATTCATTTAAAATAAATCAAAGACTTATAAGACGAACATAAAATATTTATTTCTTCTCTTCTAGATCAATGTAACGGATACTATTTATTTCATTACTATGCAGACTTATTAATTCACTGCCGCCTCTAATCGAAAACAAAAATCTATTTATAACTTTTTATTCTAAATTTCCAACTGCTAAATGTTTTGGTTGCATGGTTGTAATAATTCTCATAAATTTGTTGGCGATTCGTGATCGCCAAGGTGTTCTTATAAACCCATTTGGTTTTGTTTTGGCTATGATATATTATGATAAATCAATAGAGAGTATTCTGATTTCATCCCTTTGAGGGATTTCATATTTCTGTTTGGGATGCAGAAATGTCCATTCTCTGTCACCATTTATGCTTAATAAAATAAATTCATTTTAATGAGTTATATATTGTTTCCTGGATATTATCCATTGTTAGTATTTTCATAATCAAAAATGTATTTTTGTACGGCTAAGTAAAAATCCACTATACGAAGATTGGCGGCTAATGGCGGAGGACCAAAACCTCCTCCACAGTTATCTGTTTTGCATTGTATCGATGTATGTACACATAAAATTTTACTAAAATTGGTCCAGTAGTTCCAGAGATAATCGACCAAGTCTGTATATTCTCCTAATTTATTACACCAGTGTAGTTTGAATAGCTAAATTTCGTTAAGGTTGATAATGTCTGTGTTATTTTCTATGTAAATGTCTATGCTATTCTTTAAAAATGATTTCTAAAATTTTTTTCGATTCTGTTTTTTTTTAATTCTCCAAAAATTTGAACACATAAACATGTTGTAGGCTAATTCGAAAACTTGGTCTTTGGAAACTGCTTATATATTTGTAAAATCAGCAGCAACAAAAAAAAAAAGAAACAAGAAAACACAGTTTTTTTTTTAAGTTTTAGAATGGTTGGGCTGATTTTCATTTTTTTAAGTGTTATGGTAATATCTCAAATAAATGTCTTAAATTATATATAACAGTTAAGTGTAAACACGGCGGGATATACTTATTTTGGGACAAAAAGCACTTTTACTGAAAAAAAAGAAACACATAATTTCTTTATTGCAATCGATTTAGCGTACAAAAATAACACTTGGAAACAAATTATATGAAATTCTGAATACTAGGGTGGGCTACCAGAACAAAAGAACGTTTCCTTTGAATAATGGAATGTCGCCAATATTTGGCATATGTAGACGACACAGAGAGACTAACATCACTGAAAATCGCACTGTAAATAATTTTGCATATAAACTTGAATCTCTGACGAAAAATTATTGTGACCCCCACTTTCAGAAAAGTGTGTGATAGAAAGATTTTTTAGGTTACATAATGCGAAAACTTGTTAAACTATAAAAATAAAATAATTTTAGCAGAATGAAATAATTTTAAATTTGTTATGCTAAGCTGAGATAATAGCATTATGCTTCAACATAATAATGTTATTTCTACAGAAATAACATTGAAATATAATGCTATTATATATAATTCTTCTTATATATATGGGCAGATCAATAAATCCTTTAACTTTAGATAATTAAAAAAATAATAATAGGTGCACTATTTTTACATCTCCAGAATTGTTTGAAAATGTATGAAACGTCAGAAAATAATCGTGAACATCGAAAATTTTGATGCTCTTATAAGTATAAACAAAAAATAAAAATTTTTGAACTAATTTTTCTAGGTTTATATACATTTCATTAAAAATCATAAAAACGACAAAAGTATCATTTATTTAATAAGCATATAAACTTGTTGAACCTATTTTTTTTTATTGAGCAATTTTTTCTTTTTAATAATTTCATCTATATTTACCCTTTATTTTTCATCAAAAATTATTAATATCATAAATGAATTGAAAAATTTTAATATTAAGTCAAATTGTTATAAAATGTATAAAAAAGCTTAATTAATTATTTTTAGTCAAAAAAATATCTTCAATTAGTAAACACCTAGGGAAAAGACTAAGTTCTGATATGTTAAATTCAATTAATTAATCCTAAGGTTACGGTTTGACAGGGTTACGGTCTGGACAAGCTAAGGAATAGATCGAAAACTTTACTCAGATGCAACGCAATGCGATGCACACAACACAGAAAATAAATAAGGCAGTGACAAACGTGTGATCAGTACGGATATAATGAACTCGCGGTCATAGTGAACTGAAATTGCGGTCCTTTGAAGGTTCACTATATATATAAACTGCTGTTTGTAGAAAATGCAACACCATGAAAGAATCATCAGAATCAAATGAAATTTAATGCAGAAACGACTTGTACTGATACAAATAAATGATGAAATTTTCAAAACAAAAGAAACAAATTAAGCGTCCGAAATCAGTATTTGGTGCAGCCACCACGCGCTGCAATAAGTGCTGCTATACGACGTGGCATGGAGTCAAACAGATGTTGAATATCTGCTTGAGGAAGAGAATTCCATATCGCTTGTATGCGCAACCAAAGTTCGTCTTTGGAAACTGCAGGACGCGGATCACGAGTGAGACGCCGACCAACCATATCCCACACGTGCTCAATAGGCGACATATCCGGCGAATAAGCAGGCCAAGGAAGAAGTTGCATGCGTTGTGCTGAACAGAAGTCTCTAACAGTCCGCGCAACATGTGGGCG